AACTTAAACTCTGGGAACTGGTTCCAAGGTTCCACATTGAATTAATTTACAAAATTTTCGCTGACCCAATTTCCCCTTCAGTACATCCTCCCTTCCTTCTAGATTCCATTATCACCAGGCTAAAATAACCCAACTGCTATTTTGTAATAGTATATTAATTTCTCACCAACGTACTTAATATAAGTAAACAGAAAAGCATGTGTGCAGATATCAGGAGGCTGTTATTTGTATAAAATCTGCCCAGAAGATACTGGATTTTCTTTGGTATAAGATGAACTGTGGAATTTATTATTTTTAAGAAATATTTCAATTTGAAATAGCATAGCTTACATTTCTAGGATGCCAGGTATCATTTGCCTTGAATACAAAAAGAATGGATTAGTTTATATTTCTCCCACTGTTCTATGATTCAAGAAATTCATAATAAAAGAAAAAAGGCACTACTGTATTTAATTATTCAAGTGAAAGAGGAAAAAAAAGAAGACATGGGGCCGGCCTGTGGTGCATCGGTGAAGTTCGCACGTTTCTGCTTCTCGGTGGCCCGGGGTTTGCCTGTTCGGATCCCGGGTGCAGACATGGCACCACTTGGCAAAAGCCATGCTGTGGTAGGAGTCCCACATATAGAGTAGAGGAAGATGGGCACGGATGTTAGCTCAGGGCCAGCATTCCTCAGCAAAAAGAGGAGGATTGGCAGTAGGTAGCTCAGGGCTAATCTTCCACAAAAAAAAAAAAAAAAAAAAGAAGGCAGTGTTTTTCTTAATGGTATTTATCATACTATAAAAGCAGCTCATTCAGCCATAGTCTTTCTTAAAAATAGCAATGGACACTCTTGCATATATCTGTATTCTCTTATCCTTGATAACACTGGAGCGCTTTAAATAGGAGAATTGACAAACTGGAATTGTCTCTAGTTTTAGGTTTATTCAAATATTTAGCGTATTGCTTTATTGACATTAGTCTCTTCCTTGAAGCATGCATCGCCCATAGATGAACTGTCCATATTTACCTACTCAAAGGCAAAGGAAATATCAGCAGTTTTGGGGTGACAGTAAGCTCTTCTTCTCTGGTTGTATTCAGTAAAAGCCCATGCACTAGAGCTTTATGGACTGGTTCACTACTAATCAGCATCTGGGTACTAATCAGCATAGGGATTCAGGAGAGTTCCCTAAGTCAGTCAGCGCTGTGAACAGGCTGTAGTTAGGGCACATCTTGGATAATTCAAAACGCAGTGTGTCTATTTGGTTCTGGCATTCATTGACTTTCACCAGAAATCAGGCACTTTCGGTTCCACTAGGGTAAATTCACCCACGGATGAGGTAGTTGTGGTGGTGGCTAAGGTTGTTCCCAGTTACTTTATGTTAATATTGTTACCATTAAGAGTTACCATTTATGATATGATGACCATATGCTGGGCACCCCACTAAGCACCCCACATCTATTATCTCATTTAATCCTCCCAATCACTAGAAAATTATGATCATTATCCCCATTTTACTGATAAGGGAACTGAGACTTACAGAGTTTAAGCTTCAAGGTCACATTGCTAATAAGTAGTAGGTCTGTATCTTAAATCCAGGTCTGTTAGATAATATAGTCTAAGATTTTTACCCCCTAATTCTTTATCGCCAATAAAATTTAGTGCATAACAATTATTAATGTAGAAATAGAAATAAAGTGCATATCTCTTTTTATAATGTATTTAAAATAGTCTTCCCTCTAATCCCAACCTTCACCTTGAGTTATTTGAACTCGGCAGCAAGAACACTGGGCTTGGAATCAGGAGAAATAAGTTTGGCCTTGAATTTACCAGCAACTCATTGTGTGATTTGGGGAAATTCATTTAACCTCTTTGGGCTTCAGTGCTGAAATCTGCAAAATCATGGAACTGGATTATATCATCGCTAGGGTCACTGACCATTTTGAGATGCTATGAGCTGTCCATTGGTTGAGAAAGCCTTGTCTTTGTGAAAAGATCTACTTTATCTCCACTGCAATGATCATGATTTTTCTAATTAATGGGATCTTAAGAAATGAGCTTATCTTAAAAAATTAAGTCATGGCTGAGAAAATTAGCCATCTGAACAGTCTAGCTATAAAGATGGGAAATGCCAGACATTGTGCTCAGTGCTTTCACTAGTGCCATATCAGTTCTAGAGACCTCCCTTTATTCTCATTTTACAGAAAAGGAAATTACAGCTCTTGAGGTAAGATCTCTTGTGTGAGGTCATGAAGTTAGCAAGTGGTACAGTAATGACTCAAACCCAGACCCCTGTCTGGAATCATAGATGCCAGGGTGGGAAGGGGTTCTGGAGGTCACATAGCCTAATGATCTAAATTTTTTTTTTTTTTTTTTGAGGAAGATTAGCCCTGAGCTAACTACTGCCAATCCTCCACTTTTTGCTGAGGAAGACTGGCCCTGAGCTAACATCTGTGCCCATCTTCCTCTACTTTATACATGGGACGCCTACCACAGCATGGCACTTGCCAAGCGGTGCCATGTCTACATCCAGGATCCGAACCAGGGAACTCTGGGCTGCTGCCGAAGTGGAGCGTGTGCACTTAACTGCTGCACCATCAGGCTGGCCCCGTGATCCGTCTAAAATTAATATCAGGTTGCTCATTCCCGTTAAGTAATTTAGGATCCTTTTTACTGGGTATAGGTTTGAAATGTACACAAAGTCTCCCATGGTTTGGATGAAGAGAAAGGAGAAAGGCATAAAACTCATTGAAAAAACAAAATGAGATCCAATAAGCTGAAGGACAATCTGAGTTTACCACAGTGATTAGGAGCTCAAGCCTTGGAAACAGACTAACCTTGTTTTAATCCTGACTCTGACACTTAATAGATATGTGACAAGGCAAGCCATTTACTTTAAACTCAATAAGCCTCAGTCTCCACACCTGTGAAATGGTAGTAAAGTGTCTACTTTATAGTGTTACCATGCAGATAAAATGGGGCCACCCATGTTTAACTGCTTAACAGAGTACTGGGCACATACATAAAAGTGGGCTATTATTCTTATTTCTCAAGAACTAGAGGGAAGAACATGAAACTGTAGTCATTGTTTAGCTCTGATCTCCAAGGCTCCCAGCCTTTCTCCCTCCTCCCTGCCCGCACCCCCTGCCATTGTAAAGAAATTACATTTCACTAAAGACAAACTGTGTTCATGGTTCAATAATTGACCTAAATGCTTTAATTAGTCATTCCACGTTTGACTAGAAGCAGCATTAACAGCAAAATCATTAAGAGAAGACCAACAAACATAGTTGTACGAACTCCCAATTGTAGAGCTTCGGTACTCAGTATAAATCTCAGCCTGATTGACGACGTTGTCACAGACCAGGTAATTACCTATGCAACCTCTAATCAAAAAATATTTGGCAAGAACTGGAAATGTCAGAAAATGAGGAGGGAAGGAAGAGCATGAGGTAAGAAAAGTGCTTCATCCTCAAATGAGTAAGATGGATGGCTAATGATAGGGCCATGCCAGAAACTGGTAGCATAGATGATTCATCTTGGATGACCTTGTCTAAAACAATAATTCTTGTTTACGTGCAATTTTTATAGGACTTTCCTTGGAAAACATGAACGTTGTCAGCACAGTCCCTCAAGTTCTTCCAAGAAACAATTATAATAAATAGTTTTAGGGCTACAACAAGGTTGACAAGGAAGGGAGTAATTAGAAACCACAAGGACAGTGGGCGGCAAAGGGAGCAATGACTTCGGAACAATAAACCCAGACGAGTGGAAGCACAAAGGCAGGGAAATCATTCTAGTGGTGCTGGCTTTTCTTTGTATTCCAGAAAGGACCTGGTTATTTCTAGATTCTCCCCTTAACCTTTTCTCCATCACCTTTCTTTTTATATCTCAAATTATGAATGTCTTGAGGGCAAATTATGAGTATCTGGATCACACCTTTTCTCCTTGTCTGTCAGACCATAAGATCTCAGCAAATGTTTGCTGAATGGATGATTGAAATCTGAGTAACCCCTGCAATATGGAAGTACCTTGACCTACAATACTACATTTTCTTCCTCCTTAAACTCCATAATTACCATCTTCTACAAGTTAATGTGGCTGAGTCCCATTGTCCTTTTTTTGTTCCTATGAGTGTAAACAACTAAACAGTGTGGTCATGAATCTTCTCCACATGTGCAGGATGGGAGGCTGAAGAACCAAGTTCTGTGATGTTAATGGTCTCAGTGTCCTTGAGCTCCATATTTAGTCCTTCTTACATCAACTGACTCTAATAAAGCAATATCCCTACAAATTAACCTGATTCAAGCTTGAAAGGGAATCCATGATCTTATGCCCCTTTCAGTCTAAGGATTCTAAGCCCTTTGGAGTATTTGGTTGACTACTTTTTTAACTATCAAACTTGCATCAAACTATACATAAGACACTTTTTTGGGTATAGGAAAGCAGTCTAGCCTAGAAGCTAAAAAGAAAATGAATGCTACAGGCAAGGTAGCATGGTATATCAAAAAAGCCACTGAACAGGGAGTTGAGACATCAGAGCTCTGGTTATGTCTCAGCTTTAACTTGTCATGCAATGTTGGACACATTATTTGCCTTTTCCCTACTTCTTTTCCTCATCTGTAGGGGTTAATATACATAACGACAAAGGTTTCTTCACAGTCCTAAAACTGAAAGAGTGTGGTAATAATTTAATATGGGACCGAACTTACACCACACACATACAGTGCTCCAGAATATAAAAGTACAGAACATGTGCTATTTAAAATGAACCATTGCAAAAAAAATTTAACTTTTATAGCTGGGCAAAGAGATGCCTAATGAAGTAACTTTACCAAGGAAGAAAATGAAAATAAATTTGGATCTGAAGAAATAAAGAGGAAGGAAAAGATTTTTGTTATTTTATTTATTTATTTATTTTTGCTGAAGAAGATTTGCCCTGAACTAACATCTGTGCCAATCCTCCTCTATTTTTGTGTGTGTGGGATGCCTCCACAGCATGGCTGGTGAATGGAGTAGGTCCGTGCCTGGGATCCAAATCCACGAACCTGGGCTGCCGAAGCAGAGTGTGCAGAGCTTTAACCACTTGGCCGCAGGGCCAGGCCCAAAGGAAAAGATTTTGATGACTTTCCAAAACTAAAGTTAAGCCAAGGTGTTCAATGAAAATTTGGCAATATTTATTCAAGATAAAAACTACAGGATTTGAAGAAGTTGTTCTAATTTTAATACCAAATGGAGGCTTAAAATGGAAATGAATGCACTTACTCCCACAAGATGAAGAAATGATAAAGAATAATAATTTCAAACAAAACAGTGGTAACTAACTTACAGAAGTATTTTAGTTATTTATGACTGAAAACCTGGTAAGCATAATACATAGATTAGAACTAATACCTATAAAGCAATCTGAAAAGAGAAAATATGCTTGATTTCCCAAAAACCAAACCATATAAACATTTCTAAAATATTCTTAGTAAAATACACATTAAATAGTGCTCTTGACTGGTCTACAAAATCTAATCAACCGTCAAATAAAATTGAGTCCATGGGAAAATGTTTCAGTTTCTAAATAAAACGGAATTTTAAGTGAGTTATCTGATTATGGCACATTTTGAAGTTGAGTACTGTAAATATCAGAGAGTAGTACGGTATAAATTCACAGAAAGGATCTACTTAGGGCATAAAAACTTCCCTATGTTGTGTAATTTCCTAGGTCACCAGTCCCACACTTGCCCCTCTGCCTGCAGGCACACCAGGTACAACGTAAGACAAGGGAGCCTGCACGTTCTTTTGTTCACTGTTTAACTTCTAAACCACTGTCTCAGGTCTCTTTCTTGCTGCTGATTTCATACTGCCTTCCAACATGTGTCTACCAAACTCGCTGCCCATTTTCATCCTCACCTTAGCTGCTGAATTTGTCACTTACTATCACTTCCTTAGCTTCAATCTTGGTTTCTCTCAACAGTACTGCTCTTATTATAATATGATTCCTCTGGCCACTTTGAATGAGCATCCTTGAGGAGTCTATTTGACCCTACCACATCCTATTCCAGTGTATTCCACAGGCAGGGCCACCATTAGCTCTGCCCAGCACATCAGAGAAAACAAGACCAACATTTTTATAATATTCTAATAGGTAGTGTTTATTAACTGGCCCAAATCACATAAAGTTGAAAATACCTCATCACTGCTTCGTTATTTTAAATATTGACTGAGCATAGAGAAATAAGAGCATATTACTTTGGTGGGATCATAAATGATTGTTCATTTGGTCAATAAATAACTATCGAGCACCTATTACACATCAAGCGCTGAGCTAGGTACTGGGATCCAGTGGTAAATGAGATATATTCCATGACCATGGATACTTTAAAATCTAGCAGGGATAAACTTTTGAAAAGTAATTAAAAGTGAGATGAAGCTTATGAAGCAGAGGTGCAAATACTACAGAAAGGTATAAAATAGGAGGCTTTATTCTGGGATGTCAAAGAAATCTGGGCGAGGGAGGAAGTCAGAGAAAGCACCTTATAAATTGTTCCACCTAAACTTTCAACTTACAAATAAAGGCATTTCCAGCTGGAAAGAGGAAGTGACCAGCTTGCCCCTTGAAGTAAAGGGTAAACGGGCAGTGGCTAACTGTATACACTCCTCTCTCTATCTTGCTACCCACTTTCTAAGTGGACTATTCCAAAACAAGTAACAGGTTAAAAAGACTGCATTATAGAGACAGGTACACTGTAGGCGAGCAATCGAAATTGTTACAGTAAATGAATATTTAGCAACATTTAATTCAACTCAATAAAAATATTATAAGTAAAAGTAGGCAGTGTAAAGTAAAGCAAATGTTATTATGCCCTGACAGCACAAGTATTCCTTCTGACAGTTTAAATTCAGCTCATCTTTAAAGGCCCAGCTGATATTTTATGCTCTCCACAAACCTTTAGTCTGGCCACGGGTAGCTCCTCAGAACTCCTGGCACGTTTGACCATGTACCACTTCTATAGCATGAATGCTTGTTGGCGCGCATTGCCATCTTTTCCTTTGTACACTGTTTTAAGCTTGAGCAAGCTGAAACTACATATCAATGCTTTGTGCATAGTCTTTCATGCTAAATAGTAACCAAGGAAATATATCTTTGGTAGGCAGAAATCTAAGCTGGCCCTCCAAGATTCTCCCCCTACCCCCGGTATGGGTATGTACACCATGTGTAATCCTCTCCCCTTGAGTTTGGGCAGGACGTCTGCACATAATGGATTCCAAAGGTGAAGTGAGTTTTACAGACGTAACAAAGGACCTTAACCAGTTGATTCTGAATCAATCAAAAAAAAAAAAAAGAAGAAGATTATACTGGGTAGGCCTGACCTAATCAGATTAGCTCTTTAAAAGAGAGAGGAAAATTCAGAGATTCTCCTGCCGAGTTTGAAGGAGCCACCAGGAGTTCCACAGCTGAAGGGAAATGAATTCTGCTAAAAATCATGTGAGCTGGAAAGAGCATTCTACTCTGCAGATGAAACTGCCGTTCTAGCCAACATCTTGATGGCAGCTTGTGAGACTCTGAGCAGAGGACCCAGCTGAGCTGTCACTGTACTACTGACTCACAGAAACTGTGCGATAATCAATGGGCGCTGTTCTAAGCCATTAAGTGTGTGTATATTGTTATGCAGCAACAGAAAATTAATATAGCGTCTGTGCTGATGGTGCACACTCGTGCAGGGTGGTCTGGAAAGAGGGAAGCTGGTTCCTCTAAGCACACAGTGACAAACTGTGCATTAGTCAGCTTGGACTGCCACAGTAAAATACCACAGGCTGGGTGTCTTAGACAACAGAAATTTATTTTCTCACGGTTCTAGGAGCTGGAAGTCCAAGATCAAGGTTCCAGCAGCGTTGGTTTTTGGTGAGGCCTCTCTCCCCAGCTTGTAAACGGTCACCTTCTCTCGTGTCCTCACATGGTCTTTCCTCTTTGCACACAACGGGAGAGACAGAGAGAGAGAGAAGGTGCTCTCATGTCTCTTTCTCTTCCATGAACACCAGTCCCATCAGATTAGGCCTCCATGCTTAAGACTTCATCTCATCTTAATTACCTCTTTCAAGGCCCTAGCTCCAAACATCATCATATAAGGAGTTAGAGCTTCGACATACGAATTTACGGGGACACAGTTCAGTCCATAACAAATAGGGAATGTGAATGGACGGCAGAGGCGTGACCGGGTGGCAGTGGAAAAGGAGTAAGAGTGGCACAGCCTGGAAAACGTATGAAGGAATAATTGTCAGGGCCTGAGGCTTACTTGGAGTGTGAAGACAATGGAGCAATTCAAACTGAAGTGGAGCTTCCAGTTTGGGGGAGATTCGCCAAAAGGGGTGCAACTGACAGAAGAGAAATCACTATTCCTTAGGGGACTGTTGTCCTCTTGTTATGGAGGGAATTATCAGGAAAAGAGAGGAAGAAACAGGGCAAGGAATTTAGTTGAAATCAAGGAATCAGCAAGTCATACAAACAGCTGTATCTACTAGACATTAAGATATATGGCTAAAAAAATAAGTTCACATTTTTAGCTAAAAGAATTATTAAAGTGTACATAGTTAGCAAAAATCTTAATTAAAATTAGTGGAAAACTATGGATTTTTTCTATTTTTTTAAAAATACAACCCTGTGTTTTGTTTCTCAATAAAGAATCAATCTATTTTATTTTGTTTGATACAGTCAAATATGGAAAAGTGATCACCTGTAAGTTTACTGAAACCTGAAATATTTCATATAACAGTTATAACACACGTTTTGTAAAACATAAACTTCATGAGGTAATCTGTGATTAGAGTTTTATGGTAATAAAAAAGGGGATAAACTCTCAGTCTCTACCAGAGCTCCACAATGCTCATTAATTATGAAAGATCCTGAAATCAGTAATGATAGTCCAGAGAAGTGGTTCCCAACTTTAGTTGCATAGTCGCATCACTGAGGGGTATTTATAAAAATGCTGATTAACAAGGTTCACCCAAAGCTTACTGAGTCAGCTTTTGGAGCTGGGCCTGGATGCTTCTAAATTTAAATTACCCTCAGATAATTCTGATGGGTGGCTAGAGTATTAGTCTAGAATAGGTTAGCAAGACACTTCTCAGGCTAATCTTGTGCTTTGTCCTTCTGTCATCATGATCAATTAAGTAATTCCTACTAGAGGCTGCTATTAGCCTCTTTCAACAAAGGAGGAAACTAAGGTTTGAAAGAGCTAAGAAGTGACCCTTCCTGTTTACTGGTATAAATGGTACAGCACAATCCAACACCGTCCTACTCCAGAATGCCCAACATGCTCTTTCCACTACACGAAGCTTCCTTCCAGCGTCTGAGAAATCTCATATTTCATTCAGAACTCTCTGAATGTATTCAATGAATATTTTCTCAGTATCTACATATTCAGCTGCACTACATAAAAAGATGAGAAAGCACAGTCTCTACCTCTAAGAAGCTTAGAGGTTAGTGCAGGGAAGGAGACAATTATGGGCAGAGGAAGAGAAAGAGAAGAGGGGAAATAGGACAAATACAGATATGACTACGATAAAATGTGGTCTGTGGTCTTGGAGAGGTTCCAACAAGATGCCTGGTAAGGAGGGTGGGGACAGAGGCTGAGGAGTGGAGCAGGATAGCGTCTTAGGATATTTGAATAAGGGAGAGGGTCAGGAATGGCTCCATGCAGGAAAGGGAAGCGGTGTTTGACCTGGTTCTCACAGGCAACCCCACCCTTACCACTTAGAGAATGAAGAACAGTACAATTAGGGTGACTTCTATTCTCCTCACACCACCATCTTCAAGGGACATGCCCTTGAGCTGCATGGTCCACCCTCTGAAGGACTGACCTGGGAAGGTTTTCCAAGCAGGTTCTAGAAAAACACTTGGTGTGGTGTAGAATGCAGAAGAGGGTAAGATGTGGACTCAGGAAAGACATAAGCCTTTTGGCCCTATTGATTTTGAACCTTGTAGGGAAAAGCATGGCTCGGGAAGACCAGAGTGGACCCCCTAGGCAGAGGCCCAGGTTGTCCAGAAGGTAGTGCCTCTTCAAGTCACAATCACGTAGGATTCAACAGACAGTGCTGGAGGAGGAAGGAGGAGGCAGGGAGAAAGGAGGTCATTTTTGGCAAGGGAACTAAATAACCAAACTATTAAGATAAGAATAGCAAAGAGAATCATCAGGGAGTAAGTAACTTAAAAGTTTATTAAAAGCAGAGGTATACATTATTCTTGCTTCTGGGAGGGCCTTCCCTCTTATTCCCCTCCTGTAATCTCTGCCTCCTGAAAACCTACCTGTTATCTGTTGAAGTGTCTCCCCCTAAAATTCATATCTTGAAGTTCTAACGCCTAAAGCCTCAGATTGTGACCATAGTTAGACATAGTTCATCACAGATGTAGTTAGTTAAGATTAGGTCATACTGGGGTAAAGTGAATCCCTAATCCAATATTACCGATGTCCTTATAACAAGAGTAATTTGGACATGGAAACATGCACGCAGAGAGAAAACCATGCAAACATGAAAGTAGAGAATGGGGAGAAGCTTCTACAAGCCAAAGAATGCTATAGATTGCTAGCAAACCACCAGCAGCTAAGTGAGAGATGTGGAACAGATTCTCCCTCAAAGCCCTCAAACGGACTCAACCCTGCTGACACCTTGATCTCAGGCTTCTAGCCTCCAGACCTATGAGACAATAAGCTTCTGTTATTTAAGTCACTCAGTTTGTCATACTTTGTTAGAGCAGCCCTACCACACTCATGCACTGCCCACTCACTCACCTCCATGTTACCTTCTCCAGGAAGTCGTTTTCTTCAGGCCCTTCTAACTTTATTCTTACCATCTCACCTTTGGACCCTCGAGCATGATGCTTTGTGTCCACTCCTCTTAGAATGGTCATGGCACGCACTTGTGCTACAGTCATGCATGTGCTTGATTCCCTCTCTGATAGACTGGAAGCTGCAGAGGGGGGGAACAATGATTCAGTTGGATTCATCATTTTATTCCTGAAGCTTAACACAGTGCCTGGAGCATGGTAGGTACTCAACACATGTTTGTTGAGTAGAAGTGACCTAAAGGAAAAACTTACAAGGAACAAAACCTACAAGAATATGTTTTTGGTCAATGCTATGTAAAAATTATTTTTCTTTCAGATGAAGAGCTATCCTTAGGGTTAGTTATTCGGCACCTACTCTCCAACAGGCATTGTGATAGCTCCTAGTGATGCAAAGATGAATCAGGCACAGCCCATGAGTTAAAGGATCTTACAGTGTCGTAAAGAAGATGTTGGAATAAACCTTCACAATAAAATGTAGTAAGTAGTAGGTTAAAATGAAGCACATGTTAATTCTATGGGAATTCCAAAGATGAAGCGCTAACCTATCCAGGGATCAGGATGGCGGTGGGGGGCTTGGAAAGCAGTGCATGTTCAGTGATAGTGACAGACGAGCTGGGACCAGAAGACTGGGCCTCCTCACTCTCTTTTGGAGGTGACTGTGAACACACAGGCCTATATTGTTGATCTTAGCTCTCCCAGCAATGTTTATTTGAACATTTCAGCATTTCACTGAGTAGCAGGTGATTAAGCATGAATTTACAGAGAAAGGATCAGTAGGTGGCACAGTTAGAAAACAGTCACCGCTGTAGTCAGTGGTTACTCCTACCAGGAATGAGATCAGAAAAGGCAGCAGGAGGGATGGTTACAATGAGTTTGCAACAGATTGGAATGCAAGTCAAGGAAGTGTAAGACAGAGGACAAGGAGCTGCCACTGGACGCTGCTCAAGGAACCAACCCAGTTCTTCAGAAAGGGCTCCGCAGGACACAGTGCTGTGCAGGCTCCTGACATTCAGGATAACTCATTCTTCCCTCAGGCTTGCAATCTTGGAAACTGCATGATTTACCACGCAATCATGCTGGGAAGCCATGGCGCCTCCTTTTACCTTGATCCCACTGTATGAATTTGCTGGGCTGCCGTAACAAAGCACCACAGACTAGGTGCCCTAAACACCAGAAAGTTATTTTCTCACAATTCTGGAGGCTGGAAGCCCAAGGCCAAGGAGATATCACAGTTGGTTCCTTTTGAGGCTTCTTTTCTTGGCTTGTAGATGGCCTCTTCTCCTCATGTCTTTACATTGTCTTCCCTCTATACCTGTCTGTGTCCTTATCTCCTCTTCTTATTAAGACACCAGCCACACTGAGTTAGGGCGCAATCATATAACCTCACTTTCTATTAATTACCTCTTTAAAGGCCCTATGTCCAAATACAGGTCACATCTCACATTCTGAGGTAGTGAAGGCTAGAACTTCAACATATCAATGGAGGGGGGAACACGCTCAGCCTATAGTACCCTGTGAAATGGGTCCTTTTGTTCTGTGTTAGATTAAGTTTTTCTATTCATGAGGAATCTCAGAACTCTGAGCAGGGAAAATCATCTTCCTGGGGCATTTCTTCCCTTCAGAAGAGGTAAATGCATTCTCAGAGCAGTAATGAGGCCTGGAAGGACAGGCCCTGAAGAAGGCAGAGATGGACAATGAAGCTTAATAAGGCATAAGCAGCACAGCCTGCCATCACAAGCCTGGAGGTCATGGAGTGTTCTGGTGGGAGAGAAAAAGCAAGGCCACAATCAAAGAAGCATTTCTAGACACACACTTCCAAGAAATTGGCAAAGAGAGTTCAAAAAAAGAGATCTGGACATCCAAGTCTCCAGCAATATGTGGTTATTTTGTTTCATGTTCTTAATAAATATTTACCTTCATACCTAATTTTGTATTCTTTCTTTTAAGCTTCAGACTCTCCTCAATACTAGATCTGCCCTCTGGAAGAAGAGGAAACAGATGGAATTCTTTCTCACAGCTTGGACATTGAAATGTCTGGAAATGGTGGAGGGAGCTCCAGAGCTGGAGTGTTAAATCTGCAGTCTACTAAGGAGAGGTAAGAGAGAGTTGGAAATGAAAAACTTAGGTAAAATGTGTTTTGTCTCTGGAATTCCACAAGATTGAGAGAGCTGACAAAACCCGCACACTGGTGCTGTCTACTCTTCATGTAACTTAGCTAATTTTGAAGTATTCAGTATTGGCCTGCTATCCGTGCTAAAAAATTCCACTGTGGAGAGAGAGAAAAAAAGCTTTCATCAGCAAACAGTTAAAAAGCCCATATACTGATTCTAAAACCTCTTTAACAGGAACTAAGAGACTCCTTTACCCAGCAACGTAATTCCCATCTCACCCAAATCATACCTTTGTAAATCAGGTCAAGGTGACACACCAAGGACCACACAACTCATGTTTACCAGAGATTCTATGGCCCATACCAATTAATAATCCCAGCTGCACAACTACAATATACGCCATGCCAACTGCCAAGCTTAAAGGCTAAAAATTGCAAGACCTTTGCAAAGAAAGATGTAACACCTTACCTCAATGCTGGTGGTACTTGAAATCTTACTCTCTTTGTGTTATTTTGAGCTCAACATGCCAGTCCCTCTAACTATAGCTCAATTCTTCCTGTCCAGTGAGCTTATATTGGAGTTTTAATTTGTGACAATCACACTTCTCTCTCCAATTTTGAGTTTGGAACTAATTGAGAATTAGACATGGCTGTTCAGAGAGATGAAGACCAAACATCAGGTGTATTACTTAAAATCACTAGAGAGGTGGATATGAATTAGATGAACAGTCACAGTAGACTTTCTAATATTCCCTCCAAACTTCAATTAACTCCTAAGCAGAGTGGCCAACTGTAGGCATGCCCTTCCAGCTAGTCTTCCCTGGTCATCTGACCACAAGGCAAAGAGAAATCCCAGAGGAGAGGTACCCTCTATGTGGGCAGCCACATCTGAAAGACATAGAATATAGAAAGAGCTGAACAAAACTGCCTGCTTCCAAATTTACTCAGTAGATAAGTTATGTCAATCCCTATGGGAAGGAGTGAGCAGAGGTGGGAGGGCAACAATGCCCAGGAGGGTCCCTCTGCCAGAACACCAAAACATAAAGCATAGGGAGTATTGGCTTCCATCTAACAGCACTGGCAACAAATGTGGTTTTAAATTTGTTTTGATTTTTCGATCAAGTAGCTGCACTTCCAGAAATATATCCAAAGAAAATAATCAGTGATGCAAACAGTTATATACCAGTGTCTTCATTTTAACATGAGAGTAGGAAAAAAATTGATACAATAAGGAAAAAGAACGGTATGTCTCTATTAAAATGTTTTATACATGCTTTTAATGAAAGAAAAGACATTCATGTTGTAATGGTGAATTTTAAAAAGGCAACAAAATTGTATTACACCATAATTTCAACATGTTTCTGTTAAAAGTGTTTTCACAAAAAATATAAAATAGACAAGAAACATTACAAGTGTATTTTTTATTATATCATTACATATTTCCTAAATGTTCTAAAAGCATGTATATTATTAATATAATCAAAATAAGATTATATTTTTCCATTTTCCAAGTGTATCCATGATGTTTACTATGTATACTAATCTCATAAAGTAAAAAAGAATTTCATATTTAGGTATCACTCTTCAAACATGAGTTAAACAAAAACAAATCCTAAACCTGTACAGCACATTACTATATAGATAAGAAATATATATTCATATTTGTACGTATATCCCCACTAGTTCCACAATATAAAAGAGAAAATATATATTTTATCCTATTAATGTGATTTACGTAAAAAATGGGGACAGATATCTAATATCTCTATTGATTCTGGTGAATCTAAAAAATGATAAAACAAGTCACTTTCTGTAAACGACAGTAACATCATCTTTTAATTATTCCTGACTAGGGTTGCTAGATGAAATACAGTATATTCAATCAAATTTGAATTTCAGATAAATAATTCTTTTGACTGTAAGTATGTCCTTTGCAGTATTTGAGAGAGTCCATACAATATTTGAAACATACTATACTAAGAAATTTTTCATTGTTTATCTGAAATACCAATTTAATTGGCCACCCTGAATTTTTATTTGCTCAATCTGGCAACCTTATTCATGATGTCATTTCAGAAAGCCACATTTTCTGCTCTGAATATCCATTACTCTAGTTCCAGCAGGGGCTAGAACAAGTGAATTAACCAGAAACCAGTTCATCAAACTAAAGCGAGAGCTTTCTGATTCAGAGGGAAACACTCCCAGGGAGGACACTTGAAGAGATGCCAAGCTTGTAAAGCTTGCTGTGTCTACAGCACTGTAATTGCCTTTGCAGACCTCTCCCCGTCCCCATCCCTGGAGCACAGTCCCAGATCAAACGAGAGCAGCGGGGAATCCAAGCGCCCTCATTTCCAACCTAATCCTAAATGAAACATGCAGGAGCCCAGCAATACTCCCTCCACTCTGAGAGCCGCTGCCGCCACACCACACAGCCGCTGCAGGAGGGTGAGGTCCCACCAGCGGAGCTTCCTCTCTAAAGCACAGAAAGCAAGAGAGTCAGGAATCACCAAAGTAATTCCTGCTACCACTGGAAGAACCAAGGAAGAAGTTGTGTGGCTTCCTTCTTTTTATTCCAAAGATGGCTATCTCACACTGTAATGACAGTAGAATGGAGGCTGGGCAAGGAAAAGAGGGCACCTGGACAGGTGATGTGTTATTATCCTATGGCTGTTATTCCCTTGTTATATGAACAATAAAGAAAGATATGGAGCAAGGGATGAAGGTATTCAAACCTCTGCTTCACGTCCAGATGAGGACTTGATCTCCAAGAAGACTTTGCTAGCCAGGTGGCTCTCTGGATCCTTTATGAAGCGCTGGCCCCAAACCCCAATTTTATTGTTTGGTGCATTACTTCCAGGAAAGTTACTTTAGAGGAAGATCAGCAACAATGCTGAACTCTGAGAACCAGACCAGCAGGAGTAGGAAGGAATCCAGCAGAGGGCCTCAAAAGAGGACACGTTCACTGTCTGACCTTTGAACCAGATGACCCACCATGCCAACAGGGACTCACAA